TGACTGTCGCGAAACGCGGGCGGCGCCGAGCGCGGGGCCCCTCGGCTCCGGCTGCTCTGGCTCAAGTCTGGCGTCACGAGTCGGGCTCGCGTCTGAACCTGTGGAACTGGTTCTCCCACGAGCTCCAGTATCACTTCGTCGTGTGGACGAGGCGGTTCAGCTCGCGCTGGAGTGGCCCCCGCGGTGCTGCGCCCAGCTTCCGCTGGCCTCCCTCTTTCTTGATCTCGGCGATGATGATGTCCCGAATCAGCTTCATGTTGCGCTCGTGCAAGTCGAAGGAAAAGATTAGCCGCGCTTTCTCCTTCTTGTTGGGGGCCTTGTTCTTCTTAGACTGGAAGTGGGTGATGCAGCTGCCCAGCGGCTCCGACCCCTCCGCACAGACCACCGTGCGCCAGAACTCCTCGAGCACCTTCTTGGCTTCCGGGTCCACCAGGGTCGCCAGCCCTTTGATCGTCGCCGCTGCGATCACCAGGTGCGGCGGGCCGAGGGCAGCCGTGTCGGTCTGGCTGTCCACCATGTGTTGCTCCTTCGGCTCCTTGGCGTCGGCGTCGTATTGCTGGCCTGCTTGAATGGCGAACGTGGGGAGCGGCTTGGCTGCGTCCATCTCCCAGGCCTCGTGCACTGTGGCCTGCAGGTCCTGCACGTCTTTGGCGACTACGAGCGCCAGCTTGGCCGAGGTGACCGCGATCTGCTCCGCCCTGTCCCAGTCCTTGCCCTTGCCCGCGCCCATGCTCTTGGACTGCTTGTTGGGGTCGTTCTGGTCCGTCGCCGCCGCGAGCCCCCTCTTGCCCGCCCACGCTGGTCCAGTGGCGAAAGCGCCCACCATGGCTGCGCCCCCTGCTGTGCCTGATGCCGCCGCCGCCGCCGCTTCGCCTGGCATCTTGTCGTGGAGCGCCGGCTGGGCGCGAGGCGGCCGCGGTCGGGGCCGAGGTCGGTCGGCGCGCTGGAGCCGGAGGCTGCAGAATGGTTCGGGGAAAATGGCTGCGGATGTGGGCAAAGAACTGTTGTTTGTCGTTGTCCGCACGCCCGCATACTCTGCATCTCTGGCCAAAGCCCCCCGCTGGTTTCATCGTTCTGCTTCTGTCCGAGGGGCATTGTCCACGCAGCAAGGCCATCATAAGATGCCTGCCCGCTGCGCTCCGTTCCCCGAAAATCGCACCGCAATTTACACGCTCATTGTTTGTGGTCAGAAGGAAGGCGAGGTTGCTGAGCTTGTGCTTGCTTCGCATATGTGATAGTAATGCTTTATGCGATCCAAAGCACATCCCGCACACCATACCTTCACACTGTGATCCTGGGAGAGTCGGCGCAGGCACAGGCATGTTTGGCAGCGTCGGCGCAGCAACATCGTCCATGAGCTCGCATCTCCACGGCGCAATCTCTGACAGGACCGTTTCCTCCTCCGCTACGTCTGCTGCTGCTATACTAGAGCTAAGGCCTGGCGGAGCTCCTTGGGGCCCAGAACACGAAGGGCCCCCTGGAAATCAGACTCAAAGAAGTTACCTGGTTCTATATCGAGGTCTCCAATATTACTCGCAAAGCTGTCAGCGCGGCAGGCCTCCTCTAGGTCTTTAACGATTCGCTTAGCCCATTCGTTACGCAGTGGGTGAAGCGCACCATCATCACAGACCGTCGGTTCTGTCTCCAGCTCCAGCTGTCCGAAGATAGCCGTCAGTAGCTGCTGATGCCGCGTGGGCTCCAACAGTACTTTACGAATCCATGAGAGACGTCTGACAGCGGCCTCCATCTGCAGTGGGAGAATACGCCAGTGCCTGAGAACATCGTAACTGGTTAGACTTCGAGTCGATCCGTCCTCCAAGCGCCTTGTAGCCTGTCCCCTCATAGCTTTCCTGGCCAAACCTGCCACCGTCATGGTAAGTGTTCTGTACTCTGACTTCGTCGGGCAGTAGCTCTCTATGCAACTGAGACCTGCGTTCCCAACTTTGCATATGAGGACCGAACGTTTGCATGTATATGGGATCCCCGCTTTGAACCAACATCCCCCCGTCTCCTTGAAAGCCCTGATCATCGCATGCGCACGTTGTTTCAGTTCCGCTCCGAATGTGTTGGCCGTGTTTAGATGCGGTCCCAGATATCGTGCCGACTGCGCCGTGCGCCCCGGGAGTACGTGCTGCTTGCTCCTAAGCTGCCTGTACTGCGCAACCGATCCTGCCCCCTGCATCCTGACCATGCTCTCCTGTTTGTCCCGGTTTTGATGCAGGCCAAACCTGATCAACCTCGCGTGTAGCATCTCGTCTGCCTGGCGCGCTTGTAGTGCTAAATCCGCCGCGGGATGCTGCGCTATGCTGAGCAATATCTTCTGGAGGTCGTCTGCATACTTGAACAGGCCAAGGTATTGCGGCTTCTCAAAGAAAAGGCAATGTGCCTGCAATGCCTGATCGCACGGGAGGGACGCAAGGCAGTCCTGCTTCCACTGCTCTACGGGGTGGGAGAACATAGCCACAAAGTTGTAGACCATATACGGATCCCCTATGAGCCCGCCGCATCCCGGTCGCATCAGCAGAGGGTCCTGCCGGTCACGGCGCGGGACCGAGAAAGCGCAACTCCTGTACCTCTGTTCCCCCAGCTCCCACGCGTCCTGAGTAAGTAATTCCTGGGTCGCCGCAGCTCCTCTCTGGTCGTCGTCCTGGCCTCCATCCCTCCTTGTCCTCCTGGGAGCCTCCAGAAGTCCTCCCACTCCTGTCGAGTCGGCATGCTGGTGACCACGCGCTGCGATAGTTCCTGCGCCGTCGTCCCAGCTGCGTGCCTGCCAGAAGCCTACTGAGTCTGCCCACCTCCGCCAAATCCCTCCTGCTCCATGCCTCCCACAGTTCCTCCACCCTCTCCGCTCCTATTTGTTGCCGAGCCTCTCTCCTCATACGCGCACACTTCACCGTCAGGGCTTTAAGGCGAGACTGTGTGTTCATCATTTGCTGCTCCGCCCCCTCGCCCTGTTGCTCCCTGATGTCCCGTCGCTTCGCAAGCACATCCAATCGCTCCTGCTGGAGTCGTCGGTAAGTGTCGGTTCTGCCGGACCCGCTGCTGAAGTGTCTAGCCGCCACACGGTGCACAATTTCCGTAAGCGCCCCGACTGTCGCCGTGCTGTCGCCTCCAGCCCTAATCTCACTCAGCTCCTCCTCTCTCCTCGTGACCTCCTCCTCCACCTCCGCGACGAATGCTGCTCTGCCCACGTTTCTCCTGACACCCGCTACTAAAGCTTGCCAGTCCCATCTGACTCGTCCTTGTGGTTTATGCCCATAGACTCACAACATAGATATAGTAGCATGTGTAGGGACGTGGTCTCGTAGTTCGCGGCAGGGTATGACCTGCAGTCGCCGGCCCATGCGGCACAGTGGTCCCGCTGTCTGAACAAGCGGACGCCACTCCTGTGGCAACGAAAGGTAATCGATCTGGGACCTACGTTCTTCAGCGAAGTAGGTCGGCCGCCAGTGGTCGTGAGTGCTAGCCACATAGAGATGATGACGCTCTGCAATCCCACGAAGGCGTTGCCCCGCTCCCCCTGGGAGGCGCTCGGGGGCACCCCCAGGTCCGACCGCCCAGCTGTGGATTGGTTCCCCTTTTTATGGTTTTGCCCCATACCATCGTTGACGTCGCCACCAATGATAACCGCCGTACTTGGGCCCGCCTGAGCCGCCTGTTGGTCGATCCAATCCGAGAGGGTCTTGGCAATGCGTAGATACTGCCGTCGTTCGGCCGTGGTTCGAAGCTGAGGCGGGTAATATACACATATGTACCTCACACGCTGTCCACCTAGTTGTAGTGTAGCTGAAATACCCCTACCATGTAATATGTCAGGTGGTGCCGCTGTGTCCAGAAGTACTGCGTGCTGCCATTTCCCCCTCCCGATAATCATGCATCCCGCCGATTTGTTGCTGTACGCCGCTCCCTCCCTCCACCCACTCTCCACATACCTGCACCTGCCCCCCCTTGTGTAGTGATGTAGCCCATCTGCTCCGTTTCACCTGAGGGTCGGCGTTGGGTCGTCCCTGCAAGGCCGATGAGGTCGAAGTTGTGACATTCCTCTCCTATTTCGAATAACCTGTCGGCGGCACAGTGCATAGGGCTGTAAAACAAAACTGCAAGAGAAGCCATCCGAGCCGCACTCGTGAGGTGTAAGCGCGGGCTGATCAACATGTGACAAGGGAAGGAGTGAATGGTTTCCCTGATGTGTGCTGGCCACCCGATCACCGCTTGACCTCGCGGTGGCTAGGAGGAGGAGGAGGAGGAGGAGGAGGAGGAGGAGGAGAAAGGAGGAGGAGGAGGAAGAAGACGAGGAGGAGGACGAGGAGGAGACACACAAAAACACTTCCCAAAAGGCGCGGCGGCTTCCGGGAAGCCCCGCCGCCTTCTGAGAAAGCCTGCTCCTTCCCCCTCTTCCCTGGGCGTGCCGCCGAGCCTGGTGGGCCTGCGCTTGGCGGGGCTACCCCTGTCGGGCTGGGCGAAAGGGGGGGATAGCAAAGGGGGATCTGAGAATCAGTTCGCGTAGCTGATTTTCCCAGCGCTTCCGGGCGCCGGGTGGCGCCCATGTATCAAGGAATGGGCACGGCGGCGGGGCCGAAACCAGCTGCATGCAGCAAATTTCGTAACGCCCCCTTTCCCATTCCCCCCTTTTCGCCCGGCCCGACCCTGTGCGGGCGCTGCTTCGAGACTTCCTTGTCGTGGCCTAGCAACGCAAAGGCGGCCGGGCGCGGCCAGCAGATGCTCGTTTCCATTTCGGTCTGGATCAGGGGCTGCGGCTTGCAGGCTGGAGGGAGTTTCATACACAGTCGAAGCAATGCCATCAGCAACCCAGCATGAGGAACGAGGCCCCTTCCTCCCATACGTTGGACTTCGACTTCCCATGGAAGCCCTAAGGGGCACAAAAAGAAAAACTGCAACAAAACACTGAAGGAACACCGAGCCCCTCCCCAACGATAAGGTTTCCTTATTCAGCGGCCCGACAGCATGAGGCCACAAAGCCAGCACAGAGCGCCCGCGGCCTCCTCGGAGGCGCCCGGGACGGCGTTTGGCAGCCTCGGCAGGAGGACCGCCGTGGTGTTCAGCATCGTTGCCACCTCGCTGGGCGACGGCGGCGACGAGGGGACAACAACGACGACGGCGACCCCTGATATCCTGGCGACTCAGGGGGGGAAGTGAGAAGGAGAAGGCCCTCTCAGAAGGCGGCGGGACTTCGCAGAGGCCCTCGCGCCTTCTGAGAGGTGTTCGGCGTCTTCGGGCAAGGCTTGGGAACTTCCCAGAGGGCCCGGGGACTTCCGAGCCTCCTGAGAAGGCGCGCCCCTTCTCACTTCCTTTGTGGATACCACGACAATGGACACTTACAGTCCTATCATTGAATTAAAAATGTGTTTAAAATGTCGGAAACCTGTTCTAAACATATTTCAAACCATGTTTTACATGTTTAAAACATGTATTCGACATCTGAAAACTGTTTGGCGGCATGTTTCCTCTCCATTGATCGTCCTCCACAAGGCTTGGGAATTTCCCAGAGGGCCCAGGGACTTCCGAGCCTCCTGAGAAGGCCCGCCTCTTCTCACCCTGCCATCGCTCGGACGTCCATTCCCCGTGCAGTTCTCGGTTTCGTTCGTGGCCTTTTTTCGCAAAATGGCCCAGTATGCTCCTCGATGGCCCTCGCCGAGAAAAAATGCACAAGCCCGAGCGATGCCAGGGTCTCGGCGCGCACCCAGAGCAGGCAAGGCCTTGAACATAGAGCGGCGAGGAAAGTCGCCATCACTAGCGCTGTACTGGGAGCCAGCGGCAGGGTTGCACACGTCCGAGCGATGCCAAGACTGCGAGGGGAAGCGTGTGGGCCGGGGGTTGCTAGAGAGGTGCCCCTGGCCCAAGGCGCCGCCCGCTTTTCGCTCAGCTTTGGAGTCCCTGGGACCCTCTGGGGGGCCTCCCTGGAAATCCTGGGTCACTTTGGGTCAGGGGCATTTCCAGCAGCACTGGATAAGAAGAGACCCGCTCAAAGGGGGGGGGGCCGTCGTCGACCCGCAGTCGGTGCTGAGTCGCCAACAGGTCGGCAACTGCCCGCCCCCCCCCAATGGCTGGTTCATCCGCGCGCTCCTGGGCGTGGTGGGCGATGGAGCCCCCATCGACGATGCAGGTCGATGCCTGCCCCCCGCCCCCCCCCGGGCCTATCCTCCTCCTCCTCTTCCTCCTCCTCCTCCGCCTCCTCCTCCTCCTCCTCCTCTTCCTCCTCCTCCTCCTCTTCTCACCTCCTCCCCCCTCATTTCGGCGGCGAGCGAGGGGCGGAAGTAATGAAAAGAAAGCCTTCTCGGAAGGCGGCGGGACTTCTGAGGAGCCCTCGCGCCTTCGGAAAGGTTCGCTGCGTCTTCGGGGAAGGCCCAGACAACTTCTCAGAAGTTCGAGGGGCTTCAAAGCCTCCCGAGAGGGCCTTCTCCTTCTCACTTCCCCCCCTCGCTCGCCACCGATGGCTACAGGCAGTGGTGGCTGCAACACCCGCCGCACGGCGCCACCCCCCAGCGGGCGGCGGCGCCGGAGCGCCTTGGTGAGGTTGGCGCGGAAGCCAGCGACCGCCTCGTGGAAATTCGCCACCTCGCGCACCAACAGATCGCGCCAGCGCGGTCGATCGGATGGAGAGGTCGCCTCGTGAAAACTCGCACGGGCACGACAGGTCGGGTGGAAGGCAACGTGGGGGGGAGCTGAACGTGAGGGGGGACCATCGGGATGCAGGAAGGTGCCCCTGAAGGGCCCCCCAAAAGGGGTCCTGCATTGACACCTCGGTCCCGAACGTTGCTGGCGAAGTGCGCCGTCCAGGCATGTGCCATGTTCCTACCCAGAACGTACCCCGTGCCACAAGAGAGGTATGGGCATCAATTTTGACGCGGGGGGCACGGGAGGGTAACGACCTCTGCCGCCACAGAGTAGTCTCGGCGACTATGCTTGTTCCTCAGCTCGGCCCTGGGTCTTCGGCGGAGCGTGCCGAGCCTCTCACAGCCATCAAGAAACACGAATATGAGAATGGCACCCTCGCGGAAGAAGACCCCAGACAGCCCTGCGCGGAGGCGGGGCCGCGATGGGGGACCACGGAGGGCGGCCGCGATGGGTGGCCCACGACGCCATCGGGGGCAGCGGGGCACCGGGCCGCCGACTTCGACGCCGGAGCCGGTTGCGACGGGAGATCGACTGCGGCGTCGATGGGCGCTGGGATCGATTGCGGCGCCGATTGCCTGCCCCACGACGCTCGGGAAACGAGTGAGACCCTGGAGTCTGGACACCCCATGTGGGAAAAAACACAGACGTGTGTTTTTTCCCCACCGATTTTTCCCACAGTGTGCTTTTTCCCACAGACGTGTGTAGGGGAGAGCGGGGCCGCAGGCACGCTCGGGCTGGGCTCCTCCAGTGCAGCAGGCCGCCGGGCAGCGCATGCAGGCGCGCGCCAGCCCTGCAGCCTGCTCGCTGCCCGACTCCCGAATCGATTCGCCGTTCGGTCGCTCCGTCTTCTTTCCCTCTTCAACTTTTTATATGGCGCATTAGCAATATCGTAAGTAGTATTATCACTTGTACCACTATTTCAGTTACGTGTGCTATCATTACTAATCGTATGTTTAATGGTATTAACAATAGCATGGGTATGAGTATTATTGTTACTAGTGTGAGCAGTGTTATTACGACCTACGCATGGATTCCAATAGTACTACGGCTATTAGCATGCTGATTCGTATGATTATCATGTACATTGTTGCGATGATTAATAATAAATTTAATATGTACTTACCTCTTGGCTCTTCTCGCCCTCATACCAGCGCAGGTTGGCAGGATTGTCATATAATAATTACTTATTAATGTTATCAATATTGTTCTTGTTATCAGCCTTATGAGTATGATTCTGATTCTCTTTTTATTATAATTAATAATAACAGAATCCTTTTCCTCCTCCCTTCTTTACCTCTCGGCTCTTCTTGCCTTCCCCCCCGGCGCAGGCCAGGAGGGGGGTCATCCAGGGCCTCGCCTCATTGGGAGGCGAGGTCCGCAGCTCGAAGCTCGAAGAAGGAGGGGGGAAGAAGGGCACTCCTGACATCGCTCGGACGTCCATTCCCCGTGCAGTTCTCGGTTTCGTCCGTGGCTTTTTTTCGCAAAATGGCCCAGTATGCTCCTCGATGGCCCTCGCCGAGAAAAAATGCACAAGCCCGAGCGATGTCAGGGTCTCGGCGCGCACCCAGAGCAGGCAAGGCCTTGAGCATAGCATAGAGTGGCGAGGAAAGTCGCCATCACTCGCGCTGTACTGGGAGCCAGCGGCAGGGTTGCTGCGCAGACCCCGTCATAGAGGCACTACAGCGAGCTCAACGCACTTGCCCCGACGGTATCACCAACGAGATCATCTCTAACGCCTAGGACATCACGCACGAATGGTTGATGCCAGGAGCATCGTTCCGATTTTGAAGCTCGGTGAAAACCACGATGCCTACAAAAAATAGCTACAGATCCGCAAGCGCTGTGGCCCAGATTGTGAGATCCGAACTGGACCTGGACAACAAACAGCAAAATGCAGGACCAGACCGAACCAGATGGCGAGGCTCAAAACGCCGAGCCGAGCCGAACATAACCGATTCGAACTGGACGGATGACGGCACCGAAGCGCACCGAACCGAACTGGGGGCACTTCGGACTCGAACCCACCCGAGCAGGAACCTTCCTGGAGGAGCGGACATGTTGACACCAGGGTCGGGGGCGGCCAGGAGGGAGATGTCAAAGTGGAGCGGGGCGCAATTCATGGCCGGCGGCATGTGCGCGGCCCAGGGGGGGGGGGGCAGGGACGTATTGAAATAAGAAAAGGCGTCCAGAAATCTGGGGAAACATCATGGCCCACACCATGATTTCCACTCCCCCTGGTCATCACCCCCCTTTTCGAGCGTTGGCAGAACTGGGTTTAGTGAAACCTGGTTCAGTGATGTGTACCGGGGGAGGCCCCCCCGCCCCGTTCCACTAATCGGAGCTGCCGTCACCCGAAAAACACCAGCTGCGGCAGACCTGGTTTAGTGATTCTGGCCAATTCAAGGGCCCCGGGGCCCTACCACTAATCGGGTCCCCTGACCTGGGGTCCTGGCTATACCCGACGTTTTCTGCGGCCCCGCACTGAGATTCGCACAAGAAAGCGGATCCTGGTGTATACGGGGTCCTGGCGTACACATGTTTCACAGTTTCCCCGGGAACGCGGGGGAAAATGGTGTACACCACACCACCCCGACGTCGCCCCTGACCCTCAAAGCTTCTGGGATTGAAAAACGGCCCGCCACTGGTAATGTATACAGGGCAGTGTAAAAAACATAGTATTCTATTTAATAATTTCTATATTTGTCTATAAAAAAACTGATGTTTAAGACATGATTGATGTACGAATAAATGCATGCACGAACTCATCGTTGTTTTTAACACTAGATCCCTGCATTTTTCATACATGATCCGCACGCGGAGCATGTATTAAAAACGGCACTGTAATGTATACGCTCCAGCTTCCGACCTTGCCGCCCCCGGCAGGGGGGATCGGCAGAGCGGCAGCAGGGCACGAGCCGGCGCCTGCCCGCACACGCCGCTGCCCTCCGCCAGGCGGAAGGCGCTGCTGTTCAGGGGCGGGTGGTGAAGCGGCGGGGGCCACAGCAGGGCCTCGGGTGGGGGGCGAGCACGGCGGTGGCGCACGCCCAGGGGGGGGGAAGGGAACGGGGTGCTCGCCTGAGGTCGGGCATGACCCCACAGAGGCCGGTGCCGGACGGAAAATACAGAACAGTCAAGAAAGATTCCAGAATGATCAAGACGAGTCAAAACATCGCCCCCAGACTATTTCTGACTACTTTGGAACGCTCCTCCTGCAGAAGGACAGGCCCGACGTAATGCTTGAAATGCAATGAAGCGGGTCCTGGCGGAAACGGGCCCAGGACCCCGAGCGCGAGGCAGAAGATGGACGCAGACTGCCTGGACGTCCCTTTCCCCTGTCGCCCAGTCGTTCGTTCCCACTCTTTTCCTCGTGTCCTCGTCATTGTCGTCCTGCTCCGAAGCAGGGCTGAACCTAAACGGTGTTTTTGGTTTTCGTTTTGTTTTCGTTCCCCTCGCTTTTATCTCGAATCCGCCTTTACCGCAAAACGAACTCGCAACGAAAACGGCCCACGAAATCGCCAAACAAACCGTTTAGGTCCAGCCCTGGTCGTGCGTTCCCGCTCTTTTTCTCGTGTCCTCGTCATTGTCGTCCTGCTGCGAAGTCCATTCTCGCTTGTGCTCTACGACGCCTGCGCTTCCGACGGCACGTGTCGTTTGCCAGTGCGCGCCCCCTGAGGATGAGAACAGCGTTTGCGATGAGCTGAGGTCTTCATCCCGAATCAGCTGCTGACGGTCACGGGGGCGGCCCCCAGAGGTCGCAGACATCGACAAACTCGGGACCCCTGCACCTCGGGGCAGACCTTCCTTCGTGCCGGGGCCACTGCCCCCGGGGGGAGCGAGCAGATTCGGATCCACTGCCTGCCGAGGTCCCCGAAGGTCGATCACACAAGCGGTGGCTTAGGGATCAGTCCCCGCCCGGACATTGGGGGGGGGGAACTCGGCGGCGCGCCAAGGGCCAGGTCGGGCATGTCCCCCTACAGGAGGATTTTGGACGAAAGCTAAAAATACCCCAAAAATACTGAAACATAGCCAACAAAAACTCAAAAAAATCAGTGCCTGACTTTTTTGTTGACTATGTCTGAAAATCCCTGCTGTAGATGGACAGGCCCGACTTAACATTGGGGGGGGAAATTCGGCGGCGCGCCAAGGGGGCACAGGAGGAAGGCAGAGGGAGCCGGCCTCCCCCGAAGGCTCCGAGAAGTCACGTCGTCCCTGGCTGGGAGAGCAACAAGACGACACGAAATTCCAAGAAATGCACACACACACGAATAGGATGCGTGGGGAGCGTCGTTTTCCCCGCCCTTCCCCGCACCCTGCGTCGAAAGAGAAGCACATTTGAGCTCGAGGGCGCTCGCGCGTTGTCTGAGTGGCAACTGAATTGTCTTCTCCAGGCGCAATCGAAGGATTGATGGCCTGCCGTAGCCACTGCAACGCGAGTTGTCATCCAAAGTTTCTTTGCCCCGTCGCCTGCAGCAGGACACGGCCTCTGAGCCGATCGGGAGTTCGTTCGCGCGCCCTTTTCTAGGGCCAGCACCCCGAAACCCCACAGGCCATGGCTCCACCCGCGCTGCGCTGAAAGCGGCGGGGGGAGCCATGGCCCGTGGGGGTTCGCGAAGGCCAGGCGCCATCCCTGGAAGACCAGGCCAGGCCTGTGGGGTTTCGCAAAGGCCAGGCCTGCGGGGGGAAAGCCAGGCGCCGCCCCCGGAAGACGCAGAGGCGCACTCCAGGGTGCGCCCCGCCCCCACCCGACGCGCTCCATGAAAAAAGGGGACGTCGGGGATGGCGACACAGCGATGGCAGCCTCAGCGGCGCAACGAAGGATCCCGAGGGAAACCCAAAAATGGCCTCCGGGATTACGTGTGTACCGGGAGGGACCCCTTGGCACATAAGTCAAGCATTCTCTGGGAAGCCTTTGGGGGTCCTCTGCCGGTCCTCCTGGGCCCCTGGCAGAACTGCCAAGGGCCGTCGTGTGGGCCACAGGAAAGCCTCAAAAGGGCCCTCACCTCTGCCAGTGCTTGGAGGTCTCAGCGGGCCCTCCTGGGCCCCCCAAAATGATTCCCAGCGAGAAGCAGGTCATGAAAAAACTGCCAAAGGCCGACCATCAACACGAATGCCGACGTTAACGGCGACATGAATCGACACTTGCGGCGGCACGAATGATAACACGAAAGGCGACACGAACGGCGACGCGAATGGCGGCACGACCGGCGGCGCGAATTGCGACACGAACGCCGACACTAGAGCAAGGCGATCACAATACGAATGGCGACACGAATGGCTAGACTATCTCAATCGCGGCCTAGCCGCGACCAGTGTCACTGATCGAAAAACACGAACCCTCTTGCCCTACACAATAGAATTCGAGCTTTTGAGTGTGCGTCGATGCCTGGGCGTCCGTCTCGAACCTGCGATTTCCTCGCCCTGGATGGCGGAGCGATTGGCGGCGCTACTGCACCAGCGGGGACGCCACAGGCGACACTAACAGCTAACACCGACACTAATCGATACTAACGGCGACACTAATGGCCAATGGCGACACTAACGACGACACGAATGACGACACTAACGGCGACACGGACGGCGACACGAATGGCGACACGTCGACACGAACGGCAATACGAATGGCAACGCGAATAAGAGCACGAATGAAGATGTCAATGTTTGCCACAAGTTGCGATTGTGGTGGCCACTTACCGCGCGTCCTCGTCCTCGTCCTCGAGGTGATCCTCCTCCTCCTCCTCCTCCTCTTTCCCACTGTGCCTACTGCGATTGTCCTGGCAGGTCGCGCCAGACCTGTAGCCTCAACACACTAGTAGTTCTCAAAAGCTGTTCTGGGTCACTCCGAAGCGCCGTCCTTGTAGTTCCCTGATATTTATGACCCGGCGATGGCGAGGATCGCCAGGATAATAGTGACGGAAGAGAATGGGACAGAGAGAGAGAGATAATAGAGGGTCTTGACTGCGCGGGACAAATGAGGAAACATAAGGAAAATGATGGGAAGAGGGGGAAGCTTGAATGGCGCAGGGGACACAGAGCTTGTCAGGGAGCTCACAGAGTCTGCGCGGGTCACCACAACCAACCTAGAAGACGAGAAGGCGACGGACGCTTCTACGCAAGCCCGACGGACCACCCGGGATACGAACACCTGCACAGCGCCGTCGCAAAAACCAAACGAAATCTAAAATCCAAACTGATGTCATATATGTATATATCTATATACCTATATATATATGGCGCTCTCAGGCACGGGCACGGTTGTTCTCCGCCCCAGCAGGATATTCGTGGCGGGCTGGAGCGGCAAGCGGCGAGGGAATGAGCCTGGACATCCATTCCCATACGCCGCCCACGAAGCCCTCGGCCCCTGCCACCAGCACTCCTCATCACCGCAATACCCGCACAACCGCCCTCACCTCCTAACCCCGTTTTGGATGCCCGAAATGGGTACGGACAAAAAATGGGTACAATGCCCAACAACAAATGCTGCCCCAAACCAACAGCGGCCGCTGTTGGGCAGGCGGCCTTCTGTCTCGAACGGACACAGGCCGCGGCGGCGCGGACAGCGAGCCCTGTTCAAAATGAACAGGAACTGCTGTTGGGCACTGTAATTACCCATTCTTTCCGTACCCATTTCGTTCGTGCCGACCCACGCCCGTGACGGCCTCCTGCGATGCGGGCACAGGACCGGTGCTCTCCACAGGCACTGGGGCCAGTCACGACCGTGATCGCCGGGAGGTTTTCCGAACGGGCTCCAAGTCCTTGATCTCGTCTGTGGTGGTGGTCGAGGTGGTCCAGAGCTGTGTGAACTGTTTTGCTTTGGCGTCGATGGTGCTGATGATGCTTGTGCTGGCACAGGTCACAGGACCGGCGCTCTGCACAGGCCTGCCTCCTCCCACCTGCCCCCGGGGCGCGCCGCCGACCGTCGGCGGTGGACGACCGGCGGCGTTCGACGGCACCAGGATCGAGGCCGATCGAGGACGAGACCAGGGAGGAGGAGGAGGAGGAGGAGGAGGAGGAGGAGGAGGAGGAGGAGGAGGAGGAGGAGGAGGAGGAGGGAGGAGGAGGAAGGAGGAGGAGGGAGGAGGAGGAGGAGGAGGAGGAGACCACTGGCGACGTCCGAGGCGCCTCGGGCGGCGGTCCTTCGAGCACGGCGGCGGCTGCCGACGGCGGGCGGCCACGAACGGTCGACGACTGACGACCGACGACGGCCGAAGATGGTAAGGAGTGCTTCCGACCACGACGGAAGAAGGCCAACCACAACCGACGACGACAACGGCGACAACGACAGCTGTCGGCGAAGTCGACGCCGACGGCGATAGACGAGGGTAGACGACGGTAGGCGACGATGGGTAGGTACGACTATGGACGACCATAGACGACGACGAACGATCGACGACGGTGAAGGACGACGACCATCGTCGATCGACAACGATATGCAGGACCGACGAAAACGACAACGACGACGATGTCAACAACGACGACGACGACGATCGACAGACGACTGGGGGATGACGAGAGGAGGAGGAGGAGGAGGAGGAGGAGGAGGAGGAGGAGGAAGAGGAGGAGGAGGAGGAGGAGGAAGGGGAGGCGAAGGAGGAGGAGGGAGGAGGGACAAGGAAGAAAGGAGGAAAAAGAGGGAGGAGCAGGAGCAGGGGCAGGAGCAGAAGCAGGAGGAGGAGAAGGAAGAGGAGAACGAGAAGGAGGCCGAGGAGGAGGGAGGGAAGGAGGCAGGAGGGAAAGCGGGAGGCAGGGAGAACGGAAAGGAAAAGGAGGAGGAGGAGGAGGAGGAGGAGGAGGAGGAGGAGAAGGAGGAAGGAGGAGGAGGAGGAGGAGGAGGAGGAGCAGTGGGAGGAGGAGGAGGAGGAGGAGGAGGAGGAGGAGGAGGGGAGGGAGGAGAGGAGAGGGAGGAGAGGATAAAGCGATGATGGGAAGAAGGAGGAGGAGGAGGGGAGGAGGAGGAGGAGGAGCAGGAGGAGGAGGAGGAGGAGGAGGAGGAGAGGAGGAGGAGGAAGAGGAGGAGAGGGGAGGCGGAGAGGGAGGAAGAGGAGGAGGAGGAGGAGGAGGAGGAGGAGGAGGAGGAGGAAGAGGAGGAAGAGGAAGAGGAAGAGAAGGAGGTAGGAAGGAAAATGGAGGAGGAGGAAGAGGAGGAGGAGGCGGAGGAGGAGGAGGAGGAGGAAGAGGAGGAGGAGAAAGAGGAGGAGGAGGAGGAGGAGGAGGAAGAGGAAGAAGAGGAGGACCGGGGGTTGGAAGGAGGAGGGAGCAGGGAGGGAGGAGGGAGGACCAGGAGGAGGGTGACGACGACTCACACCCTCGCGTCGGGAGAGCCACCGCGACGGGGTGCGCGAGGTGTGGGCCGAAGCGCGGCCCGCACGCCGCGGCACGCCCCCGGAGGGACGGGCGCAGCCCAGGAAGGGGCCCCCGAGGCGGGCGGAGCCTGCAGTGCCGTGGGCCCCTGGAGGTGCCGCCCTGCCAGGGGGCCGAAAGATCCTGGCTCGGGCCCGCTCGCTCCGCGTCCCTCCTCGCCTCGCCCCTCCTCGCCCTCGTCCCCTCTCGCCCTCCTCGCCCCTCGCCCTCCTCGACGTCGGGATCCTCCTCGCCCCCCTCCTCGCCCTCGTCCCTCCTCGCCCTCGCCCCTCCGCGCCTCGCCCTCCTCGCCCTTATCGGCCTCGCCGTCCTCGCCCCCGCGGTCCTCGCCCCCGCCCCCCTCGCCCCCAGAGCGCGCTCGATGCTCCCCGCATCCCGTACAGTCGGGGCCTTGACCGAAGGAACCCAAAATAAGGAACGAGGCCCCTTTTTCCAGAAGTAAACCTTCGATTTCCTGTCGAAGACATAAGGAACACCTGAGGCAAGCTGCGAAACAATCAAGGAACACCGAGCCCCTCCCCAACGAAAAGGGTTCCTTCCTCAGGGCCCAAGCTGTATGCGAGCCAGCCCTCGACCTGCGGCTTGGGCCCCCGCCACAAGCGGCTGGCTGACTTTGGCGGCATTGGTGGGCATCTTGCTCAGCAGGTCCTGCGCGCGCGAGTCGGATGGACGAGGCGGGGGAAGGGGCGAAGGAGAGAGGGAAGGGAGGAAGGGAGTGAGCGGGGAGGAGGAGATTAGGAGGAGAGAGAAGGAGGAGAGGGAGGAGGAGAAGGAGGAGAGGGATGAGGAGAAGGAGGAAAGGGAGGAGGAGGAGGGGGAGGGGGAGGGGGAGGAGGAGGAGGAGGAGGAGGAGGAGGAGGAGGAGGAGGAGGAGACCCACACCAGCGGGAGGTGCCATCATATTCAGCATGGATCAAACATAACAAACAATTGACCGTCGTCCGAGAGATCAGTCTCTTTGCGCTTTCTCGTGTCGACAGCCCGCTGCCCAAGCGTTTCAGCCTGGGCGCGAGAGGAGAAACCGAATAGCGCAGAGCCTCGGATGAGGTCGACTCCCACTCCGCTCGACAGCAGGGTCGGGTCCACGCTCGGGCACAGAACCCGAAGCCAAGCTTCGAGGCCAGGAAAGCGCGCGAATATTCGGAAAGCGAACGCGCGACTCCGACTCGACACCCCTTGCAGAACGGATGCTTGCCAAGCAAAATCCAAGCCAATTGCCTCTCGCGGCCTGGTGATCGGGACCCAGATCGATCCGACGCGAGAGCAGCTCGACACCGGGAGCTCCCGGGCTGGCAGATGCGCCCGCAAGTGGTGCAGAAGACCACGGGGCCCACAAGCGCTCCAGCTGATGAGGCCGCTGGGGCTTCGATACATGAGCGGCCTCTGGCTTTCCAGGGCCTGAGGAGGGCCCATGCCTCTTCGCCGCGAGGTGGTGGGGCGATGTGGTAGGGCAAGACTTCCAATCTGCCCCGTCGCCCTCCGCTGGCGCCGTGGCCCGCCCTGGGAAGCGCCAGCGACCTGCACCACACCGATAGCCGCAGGGATCCCCCCTTCCGACGACGGACGACGCCCCCGCCCCCCCGCCACGGCAACTATCAACTCCGACGCCAGGCGGCACTTCACAGGTGTGCCGAGGTCGACATCGCGAGGCCAAGCTGATGGGACACTGTCGATAGCACCAGAATCCGCGACCGCGGCTTCCTGGCGAGCCGAGAAGCGGGCCACCTGCCCTGGACGAGCGCGCTCCACCACCCGCAAAGTGACTTCTCGCAAACGGCCTGGATCCGCCGCGGGGGATGTGCGATCAATCGCATCGACGTGGGAATGTGTTTCTCGGACGTCTGCGAGTAGGCACTTTGCGAGTAGTGGAACGCGCTCGGTGACCCCGCCAATCTCACGGCAGCTGGTGGTGACGATGCGATCGGGGCGAACCCACCGTGAGAAAGGTCGGCCCCCGGGCGCGCTTGCACGCCGGCCGCCGAGCCACTGCGCGCGAGGCGGGCGGCCCTCGAGCACGTCCGTCGCCGTGCGGTGGGACGGCGCGTTCCACGCAGTTCGATCAGCGAGCTCGTCGTGTGCCTGGGCCCACTAGCGGGCCCTCGCAGGGTCGGGCCCGGCGGGGGACCTGGGGGCCCCGAGCGGCGCTGGGGCAGACGGCGTGGCTGCGCGGCTCGAGGGCCGCGCCCCTCGGGGCGGGGGGGAAGAGGAGGAACTGCCGGCGTCGGACGAGCTGGATGAGGAAGACCGAGAGGACAAGGTTGACAAAAGGCGGGCGGAATTTGGAGCTGGGCCGTGAGAGCGACCGCCGCCAACCCTTTCACTCGAGTGCATCGCACCACTGGACAGGCATGGCTCCCGCGCGACTGCAGATTTACCTGGTCGGAAGGCATGGGCGAAGGAGACCCCTACTCGATGGCGCTGGCCAGCATAGCAGTGACATGCTTCTTCCCAAACTGCATGGACCGAAACGCCTCGTACTGTGGCTCCAACTTTGCAGACATGTCAGAGTTGTCGGTCGTCGTCACCAGCATGGTAACCTCCTCACCGTTCGTGGAAAAAAGAACGCCTTTGCGCCCGTTCACACCCGGCGAAATGCCCTCGCCGTTGTTCTTGGCAGCAAAATGCCGCGATATGCCCTGCCACACTCTGCCTCGGATGGCGTTGCGCCTGCAGAGGTCATTGGATGCGTCACGCCGGGCACGAGGCGAGATAGGACCAGCCGCAATGGCTGATGACAAGCCGTTGACCTTCACGTGGTCCAGGAAGACTTTCGCATCAGTGGCACTCTCGAATGAAACACTGCAAGCCTCAATTCAGACTGTGCGCCTTCACCCCCATCAGGTCTGGCCGCTTGTTATGACACAGAAGATTCGGAATAACAATGTTGACCTTGAAATTCGTCATCACGCTTGCCAGCACGGGAGACTTGAAACCGCCAGTCCAGATCTTGCAGTGGTCGGCACCATCGTGGTAGTCGCAATTGCCAGTGAAACACTTGGGAGCACCAGGACGTTGGCCACGAGGGGGAGTAGGCCACGCCGAACTACCAGTCGTAGATCCACCTGATCGAGTGCTAGACGTCTTACAAGAACTCTGGACCGCTAAAATCTGATCTGGACCTTGGCCATGAGAGCAGGCTTTTTGGCGCAGTCCAGACCTGTTTTCATCTGACTGTCAAGGGAGAGGGTGCTCGCCGACAGTGAATCGCACTTGGTCTAGCATGTAGCAACAAACGCTTTCAAGCCAAAGATGTCGGACTTCGTCGCCAAATTGACCTCGATACGGGCAAAAGTGGTTACGATCCGTCCCTCCTCACCTGGTTCCTGTCGAACTCCTCAATCTACATATCATCAGTGCTGCTCATGATGCCGAAGGTGAGGGATGAAACCTCATAGAGAGTTTCGGAGGTGTGACCACCCTGTGGATATTTTTGTGGTCCGCCTAGGCACGACACCAAGATCGCCGTCTGCAAAGAACTGCCCGCTCGGATGGGACCCGTTCACACTTGAGCCAGAATGGCAACGGAAGGAGGAGGAGGAAAAGGAGGAGAAGGGAGGAGGAGAAGGGAGGACGAGGGTGGAGAAGGATGCCAAAACATTGCGCCGCCGCGGTCGTCGCAGTCGTCGCCGCCGCAGTCGCCGCAGAGGAGGGACTCTCCTTCGTCCTCGTCCCTCCTCCGTCACACTGGTCCCGATCCACTTGCTCCTCCGCCCCCACCTTCTCCTCATACTCCTCCTCCTCCTCCTCCTCCTCCTCCTCCTCCTCCTCCTTCTCGTCCTCCTCCTCTTCCTCCTCCTCCACCTCCTCCTCATCTTGCTCCTCCTCCTCCTCCTCCTCCGCGTCCCTCCTCCTCATCGCTCCCCCTTCTCTCACAAAAGGCGAACATATTCGTATCCGCGCCCACGCAGTCTGGATTGGCGCGACTCCGCGGATGCGCGGTCGCATGGACGCATTTCGCGCGATGTGTCTGCAACCAGACGCCCCGTATGCGCGAGGTCGCGGCCGAGGGGCCCAGTCCGCGAGGCTGCGGAAGCGGATATGTCAGGAGCAGGAGGAGGATGGACATGGAGGATGACTGTGGCGCAAGGCCCGCCTGTCTCGGAGTTCGGCGCTGGTGCTAGGGCATGCGGCGAATGACCAAACTTGACACGTCGCGTCGTGCAGCGCCTTGTGCAGACAATGATGGAAGGACAATGGGGAAAGGGGAGAGAACACGTTAAGAGTAGGAAGAGGAGGGCGCAGGGTGGTGAGGATGAGGACGGATGAGGAGCGGCAGAGGGAGGAGCTGACGGGGAGGAGGGCGGGGGTAGGAGGCAGAGAGGGAGGAATGAGGGACGGGGGGAGGAGAGCACAGGACGGAAGAGGACGAGGGATGAGACAAAAATGCGAGGAAGGAAAGGGGGTATAAGGAGGAGGACGTAGCGATGGAGGAGGAAGAAGGAAGCGGGAGCGAGGAGTGACTGAGGAAGCAGCGAGGAGGAGGAGGAAGAGGAGGAGAAGCAAGAAGCAGGGGGGAGGCAGGATCAGGGAGGGAGAAGGAGCGACGAGCGACCAAGAGGAGGGAAGAAACATGAGGAGCTCGGAAGAGTGAGGAGGGAGAGGAGGACGACGGACACCATGCACAATTTGATTCACTCCCGGCTGGCGGGGCTCCGTGAACAGCTCCAGGGAGCGCTCGTCGTGCTCCATGTTAAGGGCGATCGTGTCGTTGAGGAACTTGCCCAGTAGCCTCAAGGCGCTCCCGGGCCCAGGGCCCAGGATCGAGGCTCAAACATCAAGATTGAAGGACTGACGCGTCCGAGCGCTCTTCCGTCGCACGCTCCTCCACATCAATGGTCAGGGCAACTCGCCTGGGCATCGCTTCTGGATGGGCTGGTGGAGCTACTTTTTTCGCACGCGGGCTCGCGAAGCAAGTCGAGAGCCGTGCGTGCAGGACAGGCGGGCTACGCGCCGAAGGAAAGGAAAAACAGCGAGCCGGAGCGGCCCCATCAGAAGCCCCGCTGAGCTCATCGCGGCCAAGATGGCGCGGAACCAGGACATGGTGACGACTTCCCCAGGTACAGACAGAACGTCGGCACACCCATGACGAAGAGAAGAGTCCCAGCAGGAAGGCAACGAACCCTCCCTGCAGGCACCGAAACAACAGCCCCCAGGGCGCCTTTTTCAGGGCTGGTGGAGTTACTTTTTGGTCCACGGGCGCGCGAAGCGAGTCGAACGCCGAGCGTGCTACGGCGGGCCGCGCCGGTCGGGAAAAGGAAAATCAGTGCAGGCACGCACGCCGCTGCACCGTCCAGGCAACATGCATAAGACCGTGCCGAAGACGAGGACCGCGCTAAAACGAGAAAGTTATTTTTTTTCGGTCGCGGCCGCGCGACAACGGTCAGGCGGCGAGAAGCAAAGTCCGGGGCATGCGGCACGATGCGAATTTGCGAACACAGCCGCCACGTTGGCAAGCCAGTTCGCACCTGCACAGCAAGTGCGCAGTTGCACATGCACAGAACAGAATGGAGTAAATTCACAAGCAAACGCACAGAGGCGCCGCAGTGTGAACCGAAGTGGACAAGCGGCAGAGTGTGGCGAGTAGAGGAAAAAGAACTATGCACATACACCGATTCTGGCCAGGCCCATCCTGAGCCCAGGATCGGTGCATACGCCCTCCTACCTTGGCCAGGAAGGCATATGCACCGATCCTGGGTCAAGGATGGGCCTTGCCAGGATCGGTGCATGTGCATAGTTCTCTTCGCCCGAGCGAGAAAAATACGCGAAGCAGCTAAAACTGGCGTGCTCGAGCGCCGCCGCCGCTCTTTGTGTGCCTCCTCCCTGGCCCCCGGAGGCCTCCTGAGGTGGTCTCCTCCGCTGGGCGGCGCGGCCGCCGCCACGCCGCGGCTCCCCAGGGGGAAGGGCCGGAGGCTGCGGTCAAGCGCTCGTTCCGGGGAACTTCCTGGAGCCAGTCGCTCCACCAAAGGGGCCCCGGGGACGCACGAGCAAGTAGACACAACCTCCTGGGAATTTCCGCACACGTTCTGGGTTTCTGTCTTCCCCCTCCCTTCCCATATTTTCGCAGATTTTCGGGTGAATCGACGATGAATTGTGTCTGCGTGTGTTTTTCCTCCGGATCCACTCGTGCGTCCCAGCTGCGTCGAACGGCCGTCGCTTCCAACCCGAGTCGGACTCGTCGAGCTGGCTTCGAACTGGAGTCGAAGCTGACTCGAACTGGAGCCGGACCAGAGTCGAACGGATCCGTTAGGTGGGCCCCAGGGAGGCCCCCCAAACGAGCATCTGACTGCGTTGTCCCACGCGAGCCCAGACGGACCTCCTACGAGAGGCTAGTTCCTCACGTTCGTCTAACCTAAGAGGTGGAGGAGGAGGAGGAGGAGGAGGAGGTTGTTGGGGACGGGCCTGAAGCCAGATCACCTCCACGTTCAGCCGAAATCGGAAGCCTCCGAGTCTGACTCGAAACCGCAGTTCGAGGCTCGGAGGGAGGCGGCGCCTAGGTCCTTGACCCAGGGTAAATCCGACTCAGCAAGGCCGAACGAATCCAAAACCTGCTCTCGCGGGGCGAAGCCCACCGCGGAGCCGACAGTTGCGGGACCTGAAACTCCCTGGGGGGCCTGGCCATCCTCTTCCAGCGACTGAGCCAAGACCCTCCGCTCGGCGAGGCTAAGGCTCACGTGAGCCCCCAGAGTTAAATTCTTCAGGTCCTTCTTGTACGAGGGAAACTTGCCCTGCCGAATCCTTCTCAGCTGGTCATTAATTCCGCCCGTCGTCGATTTGGGCCTGCACAGGCCTTTAGCTCCAACATTGGGAGCCCCAGAGAAAAACGATCCACACCGACAACAAAACTGGATCCTACCCCTGGGGTTTCCAGGAGGTTCCAAGACAGGGCAGGCCAAAAACGCATGACCGTTTGCCCGAAAAACTTGCCGAGAGAATGACCGCCACTCCTCCCCCAAGTCCGAAGAACCTCCCACCTCCCTTTGATCGTCGGCCAGGGCCTGGCCGTGGGCATCATCGTCTTGTGAGTGCTGCCACTGGCCATCGCTGCCTGTCGACCTGGGCACAAGGCCCGTTGAGTCACGGGGCCCATTGGACATCAGCACCTCGACCGATCCAGCCCACCTGCAGGCCTCGCGGGCGAGGCACCTGAGGCCTCTGTACAGGCTGGCCTCATCGTCGCTGACCCCGTGACACTCAGCTCCTAATTTAGCGAACTTATCTGCGAGCCCATTGGCCCGTCTTTCCCAAACACTGCTTCTGCCAGCCTCGACGTCGGCCGCAGTGGCGTGGCCGAGCGTCTTGTAACACTCGAAATCGCTGAGAGTAAACGAGCTCCACACGGGGCCCCACAGATGACCACGGGGGGCTCCAGGGCCCTCCGCGAACCCAGGGCCCCGAGCCAGCGAATCCAGAGTGCTCTGGCAATCAATATAGCATTGAAACGGGGGAAGACCTACTTGCGTAAGCATATATACAGCATAGTCTTCCCCGTCTTTACTAGTTTGCTGCGGGGCCGCACTCAGAGGAACTGGACCGTAGGCCGCCGAGATCAACTCCCCAAACCTGTCGACCGACACGATACTCCAACCAGCCCGAGTGAGCCCATCGAGGCCCATGTATTTAGCCGACCCGTCCAGGAAGAGCAACCCCGTCAATAGCCCCGTCTCGGGCCTCTCGTGCCAGTGAACAGTTTGCGTGGGCTCCTCTACGTCGAAGAGCGAGCGAGGGTGAGGAAAGATGCACCTCGCGAACCTCTCCGCCATCAGCGGCCCGAACTGCTTCACTCTCTGCGCACACCTACACAAGTGAACACTCGCATGGTCTCGCCGCAGGACTTCATGCGCAGGGCACTCGTACTGACGGTGCCACAACGTACCTGGGGCCCCCTTGCACACTTGACACTGATCATCATCGTGAAGGTTGTGAGCATGAAGTCGGGCTTGGGGCCAATGAACTCCCGAGACCAAACCTCTTAAACATCTCTGATGGTGCTTCCCCCAGGCTTCAGACTTCTCCCTGAACAACCTGGAAATACCATCCCAGAAGATAGGGTACACAGGTGGCCCATCAAGGCCATTCTGCAAGTGAAGGGCATGTCTATCTGACGCTCGCACAGCACCTTGCCTGATCATAGTCCTGACCTGCATCGGGGAGAGCCTGAACAAGTCATGCACCACATTCAAGTCATCTTTGATGGTGTGCTGGTCTACAAAGTCCCAGCCTATGCCCCGCAACGTTAAAAGCGCGACGTCGCTGGGGGAAGACGCTGACCTCCAGGGCTGAGCTGAATTCTGAAACTTGGCGATCGAGACCCTCATGGTATTGGCCAACACCTGAACGTGAGGGACAGCTTCCCAAACTGCAGTAGCCCACATGAAAAGAACGTGCCCCACGTAAACCACCAGAGGGTCTACCTTGGCCCCGAGCCCGTACGTGTACATCCTGAGCCCAACCGAAGCACCTTTAGGGAGCCTGCCTAGGGAACTAGCAGCACCAATACGGAGCCCAGCCATTTTTGTGGGGGCCACCCCAGAGACCGAGGATCCCCAGAGGGCCGATGCCAGGAGGAGGAGGAGGAGGAGGAGGAGGAGGAGGAGTAATGAGTAGGGGGAGGAACGAGGAGGAGGAGAAGACGAGGAGGAGGAAGAGGAGGAGGAGAAGACGAGGAGGAGGAGGGAGGAACTGGAGGAGGAGGGGCGCGCCCTCCCCCCAGGCAGCGCCGAGCAGCCGACGAGCATCAACGGGTCCCACGCACGATGGGATGGCGACCTCGCGCGGTGGCTGACGCTGGCCGCCGGCGCGGCATGCTGCGTCGGCGCTGGAAACCAGCGCGCGTACGCGCGAACCTATGCGGACAACATTGAAGGGGCCCTGGGACACACAAATAAATACACACAAATAACAGGATTCCCCATACTTTCCCATACTTTCTGGGTTTTTGTCTTCCTCCCCACTTCCGATATTTTCCCATATTTTCTGGGGAATCGACGATTAACTGTGTCTGTGTGTATTTTTTCCCCTCCTGAATCATGCGCACGAGTTCCCCGCGTAGTCGAACCCGCTCTTCGGCGTCGCTCAGAGGTGAAATCATAGCCACTTTCATGCGTGCCCGTGAAATCCGCTGGCCCTTTGCGGGTCTTCTGGAGTGTGGGATTCTCTCCCCCCATAATCCCTCCCAAGGACACACAACCAGCATTTCCCCCCCCACCACCCCCGCAGGAAAGAATCATGGGGGGATAAAGGCTCCCCGACGACCCAAGAAAGCCCCAAGATGCTCCAAAGACGGTCCAAGAAGGCCCCGAATCGCCAAAAAGCGTTCCGGGACGCCCAACATGGCATCCTGTCCGATCAAGATGCCCCCGAGTCGTTTCCAGGGATCCAAGAGCCCTCCAAAGATGGCCCAACCAAGCAAAAACTGTCGAAATCCGTGTGGGGAAAAGACATGTTTAGCATGTGCGACGCGTCGGCCGTCACGACGTGGATAGACAAGCGCGTCCCACTACTCTTCAGACGGGCGTGTTCCTCTACAGGAGGAACATCCAAAAACAGTCAAAAAATAGTTTGGGGACTTTTTTTTTTGCATTTTGGGATTATTTTCTGCATATTTTGACTATTGATTATTTTTCGTTCAACCTGTCTGTAGGGGGACAGGCTCGACTTAACACTACTCGCAAATGCCCTGGATCCGCCGTGGGGGATTTGCGCTACATGACATAAAGGAAAACCGCTTTTGTTTCTCAGACGTTTGCGAATGGGCACACTTTGCGAGCAATGGAGCGCGCTCGGTGTGGAGGACAGCCCAAGAAGGCCCCGGAGACCGCCCCAAGAAATCCCCAGAGGCTTCCAAGACGGCCCCAAGACGGCCCGCGAGGGCCCCAACAGGGCCCCAGAGGCGCCTAAGACGGCCCAAGGGAGCTCCAAAACAGGCCCGGAGGGTCCCGAGCAGCCCTCCTTCTCGTCCTGTCAGGTCTTTCCGCGCCTGCCGATGCTGCCGGACATGAATCTCCCCCCCGGCGCGGTGGCTCTGCAAAAGGCCCTGTCTCGCAGACAGGTGGGTGGGCGGCCGGCGCGATCGCCTGGCGGGGTCCCTGTCCATGTTCGGGGACTCCTGCGGCGGGGCGGGCGTCGGCGGCGCGCGGACGGGGGGGGGGGGGGCTTCTCTCAGAAGCACCCATTGTTTCTGGGAAGGCGCGGGCTCTACATCTACAGACAATGCCCGCGCCTTTCGGCGGTGGACAAACCTCCCTTTAGTAGACCCCCCCTCAGTGAAAACGACCTGGGACCGAAACCGACGGACCTGGACCAGCAAAGATTACGGCCGCGACGCCCTCTCGCGAACCGAAAACGGCCATTTCCTGAAGCGACGCGTCCACCCCCGAGCCTTCTAAGAAGCAGGGTGTGTTCAGAGCACGTGCGCTCGAGCCCTGCTGACCGGAGTGGAAAAATGGCCGAGGAAGAGTGCAGCTGTCAGACGTCCGATCTGTCACACCTCGTCTGTTGCTCATCGAAGGGGGGGGGGGCTTCTCTCAGAAGCACCTCTGTTTCTCGGAAGGTGCGGCGGCACCCCCTGTGAGGAGGAGGAGGAGGAGGAGGAGGATGAGGAGGAGGAGGAGGAGGAGGAGGAGGAGGAGGAGGAGGAGGAGGAAGGGGGGCGTTACATCTGCAGGCACTGCCCGCGCCTGCCGGCCAAGAGGCAGGGGTGCTTTTGCAAAGCCTCCCCCCCCCCTCCCCCCTCCGCGCGCGGCCGCGGGCGGCGCGGGGCGAGGGAGGGGAGCACGGGCTGGCGGCCAGCCTGGGGGGGGGGGGGGGGTCGGCCTTCTCCAATTCGATCCCCCTCCATCCTCCTCGATGCCCATCCTTCCCCTCCTCTCCCTCCTCCTCTCCTCCTCCTCCTCCTTTTCCTCCTCCAACCTTTCCCCCTCCTCCTCCTCGATCTTCCTCGATATTCCTCGACCGTCCTCCTCCTCCTCGTATTTTCCTTCTTCTTCCTCCTCCTGTTCCCTCCTGCTCCTCCTCCTCCTCCTCCTGCTCCGCCTCCTCAGGTGCAAATGCACGGAGGCTCACTGATGTCCCAAGCCCCGATGGCATCCGAGGAAACAGTCTGAACATGGAAGACAGGCGACAGCGAGTGCCGACTCGGCACGCCGCCTCCGTCGTCGTCGCTCTCGCCCCCCATCGCCCTCCATCCCAAACTCCCTGCTCTCCCCACCCCCTTCGAGCAGGGCACGGGCTGCGGCCACGCCTCGCATGCCTCTGCTGCTGGCAGCCCGAGGAGGGAGGGAGGAGGAGGAGGAGGAGGAAGAGGAGGAGGAGGAGGAGGGAGGAGATGGAGGAGGAGGGAGGAGGAGGAGAGGAGGGAGGAGGAAGGACATGGAGGAGGGGGAGGAGGAGGAGGAGGAGGAGGAGGAGGAGGAGGAGGAGGAGGAGGAGGAGGAGGGAGGAGGGAGGAGGAAGGACATGGAGGAGGAGGAGGAGGAGGAGGAGGAGGAGGAGGAGGAGAAAGGCGAGATGCCCTCGAGCAATGGGCCTGCCTGAGCGCGGAGCTGGCACCCCCACCAGCTGCGATGTCCGCGGGGCGACGTCGCAAACCTCCACCTACCCTCCCCACGTTCCCAACCTTCCCCTCGAGAACTCTGCAAACTGTGACGGGGATGGGCCTGCTCATGCAGTCCGCTTTCACGGGGAGAGGAGGTCCTGAGACCCTCTGCAGCTGGAAACAGCTGGAAGGGGGGCAACAATAAAAAACGCAAGCGCGCCACACATACACACACACACACCCACACACCCACACACCCACACGCACACACACACACACACACACACTCACACACACACACACACACACACACACACACGCACACGCACACGCACACACGCACACGCACACGCACACGCACACGCACACGCGCGCGCAAACGCACACGCACACACGCACACACGCACACACGCACACACGGACACACGCACACACGCACCCACGCACCCACGCACACAGACACACAGACACACAGACACACAGACACACAGTCACACAGACGCACACACACATACGCACACACGCACACACACACGCACACACGCACACACACACACACTCACACACGCACACACACACACACGCACGCACGCACACACACACAAACACACACACACACACACACGCACGCACGCACGCACGCACGCACGCGCGCACGCACACACCACCCCTGAATACCCGAAGGGGGTCTTGCATCTTCGCCGTTTTGGGACTGAGAGGCCGGCGCTGCCCCCGCCATGCAAGCCCAACTCGGCGTCCTCCTCCTCCCCCTCCTTGGGGCGCCGCGCTGGACGGCAGAGCAGGGCGGCTCGCCGCAGGCTCTCCTGGTGTGGATCGTGGCGAGAAGCTGCGCGATCTCCCAAAAAGATGCCTCATAGCATTGTGGACGCCATGACAATGGACTCTCTAAAAATCCGATCATTAAATTAAAGCTGCGATTCACTTGTTATGTTTATGCTTGCCACGTGTTTCAGACATGTTTGAGACATGTGTTAGACATCTGGCAACTATTTGGCAGCATTCTTCCTCTCCGTTGATCGACTCCCACAATCATAGCGAACGTGTCCTGGAGGCGGCCTTCAACCGCGATGACGAATGGACCTGCTGGGGACGCTGTCGCGATGGAATCCCTCGCTTCCCATCATGGAAGTCGCGCTGCGCTTGGTGTACCCTAAACAAGTAGCGCCACGTACATGGCGCCGCCATCCAAACTGCCTGAGGTCCAAATGACAGGAAACTACCTAGGCAGGTCCAGTCTCAAAAGATGGTATGCGTATGCACGTGAAGAGCGGCAATAATGCGACGAACTTGAGCCAATGATGACGATGGATATGAACATGAAGGAAACGGGTCCTGAGGGCAACGGGTCCTGGACCCCAAGGCCTTCCCCCAGAACCAGCTCTTCATCCTGCGCCGTCTTCGGAGTCCCAGAAGCCAGAAAATCAAAGGAACCTCAGGACCCGTTTCCCTCAGGACCTGCCTCCCTCAGGGAAAGATCGGCTCCCGGACAGCAGAGAACACTCAAGGTTCGGCGACTCCGAAAGGTGTGGTTGTTGTCACAAGGTGTGGTGCGCAGTCCGCACCCTGAGGGGGGGCGGGCGAAGACCTCGACAAAGATCTCTGCCGAGCGTTCCGCTGAAGTCCCCGAAGCCGCGTCCGGAGGCCCACGACTTTCTTGCCCACAGGAAGTTTGGAGAGGGCGGGGAGGACGACCGAAGGGGGGCCCAACCGCATCATCGAATAGCCACTCGTCGCTCTGCGCAGCGCGGGAGGCGCGAAAGCCCAGAAGCAGATCGATCCTCCCATCCAGCGGGCCTGCGGATTCCAGCCGGACCACGACCACCAGACGCAGTTCGGAGCCAGTCTTAGATTGGGCGTGTCCCGCTACAAGGGAGATTTTGGACGAAAAACAAAAAATCCGAAAATATTCCAACAATGTTCAAAAATCGTCAAACAAATTGTTCCCAAGACTATGTTTGTTACGATTCTTGAATACTCCTCCCGTATAGGGACATGCCCGACCTAAAATCAGTCGCCTCGGCGCGGGACAGAAGGAGCCCTGGGAGCAGCAGCGCCGGCCTACTCCGTGATGATTCGAAATGCCGCACGTTGCCGGCCCCGCCCCCCCCAAGGGTTCGGGGATCTTCTGACCCAGGTCAACCCAGACCCGGGTCAGCAAGAAACCAAAAAACTGCAGTGTTGGAAAAAACTGCAACGCAAATCTTCGCAAGCCAGCGTCAGCCAATATGCGCGGCCGCCTCGCGGCCACGAGCAAGCAAGCAAGCAAGAGACTGCGTGCACAAAACGGCACAGTAGTACGGGGAAAAAGGTAACCGCCGTTATGGCAGTACTCCTTCACAACGGTTTCCCACTCACTCTGTGGCCTGCGGCTCAGCAGTGTGTTGAGCCCCTCTTCATTGCCAGCGGCTGCAAGCGCGTGCTTGAAAACACCCTTCGCCCAATTAGTTTTGGGTCTGCCGCGGCGCCTTTGGCCCGCTGGCTCTCTAGGCTGAAATGACAAACGCTCGGGGTCGAACGCGCTTTGCCTCACTATGTCAGCGTGCGTCGCCTGGCCAGCGCCCCCATTAACTTGAGTTGTCTCTCCAACAACATGCTGCTCATACGCTCAGCACCGGCTTGCTGTAGAACCGAGGCGTTGGTCATATGGCTGTAATATGAATTCATGATTCTTCTCAAGCAGTTGTTCTGAAACCCATCGATGTCTCCGCGGTGGACAGCCACAGCGAGTGCAGGTTGTACAGAAGCTTACTGACAACGCAAGCGTTGAAAATCTCCAGCTTTCTAGCGCGAGAAATTCCGGAGTGGGACCAGATGCGGCGCAGTTGATCAAATTCTTCCCGTGCAACTCCAATTCGGCGATTGAGCTCTGATCCGGACGTTCCGTCACATGTGATCGTGCAGCAGCCCAGGTAAACAATTTTACCTCTCGGTTGGATTGCATCGTCTGTCGGCGCAAGGATGCTAGCAACGTCCGTGGAGGCTCGCTAACCCGGGTCAGCCAGAGGGGGTCCTCGCAGGATCCTGCAAGATCTGGTGCCCTGGCTGACCCCCGTTTGCATTGACCCCCGTCTCTTGAGCCCCGACTGGTCGCGTCACGACTCGCGCCGGCGCCCTCTGGGACTCAGCCACTCTTGAGCGCTCCGAAGACGGCGCTGGCGCGAATCGTGACGCTACTGGCCCCATGCCATCCTCCCCCCCCCGTCACGCCCGTTCTCTACGGGGCTGTGCGGTGAGGGACCGCGTGATGACCTCGGAATCCTCCGTGACCGTACCGCGCGGTCCGTAACCGGATGCTTCTGGGACCTCGGAGGCCCCAGTCGTCGCCCGCAACGTCCTCGGAGCATGACCCGAGACCCTGAAGCCGCGCGGCGACCCCGAATCCTCACCGACTCACCGCTGAGTGTGGTCACCACAGCGTTCGAGGGCCCCCGATGATCGCCTGGGGACGAGAAAACTGTCCCCGACGACTCCGGTTGCTCAATGCGGAGGGGGGTCGAAGGAGCGTGCTCTGCTCGTGCCCCTCTTGGGCCCCCGGGGCTCCTTTGCGGGCCCCTTTTGGGGAAGAGAAGGTGCACCTTTCTTCCCCCTCCTTCTCACCTACTCACTCCCGGGCCGGGCGGAAGGGGGGGCTAGCAAAGGGGGGGGTGAGAATCAGGGCCTCCCAGCGCCGGGAGGCGACGACTCCTGCCTCACGCGCAGGGTGCACCTGCTCCGCAGGTCCTGGGCAGTGCCCCGATTCTGCCGTCGAAGTCTTGAGAGGTCCCCAGAGCTCTTTCGGAGATGCTCGCTTCCCTCAGTGCTTTCGGGGGTCTTTGGATGGCTTCGGAGCTTTCCTGAAGATGTTCGCATGGCTTCGAATGCCTTCGGATGGCCTCGAAGATGTAGCCCCCCACATACGCAGCGCCCGCTCTCGGCGCCAGACCTCACGCGACGCTGGGGGCCCTGCCGCGCCCGAGAGGCCCCCAAGATCAGGAGAGACAAACGTACCACCACTGCCACCAGCTAGGGGGGTGGCCGCTCCCTCCCCTCGAGCTGGTGGCACCTCCTTCAAGGCACTCTCTGGAGGCATGCCCGGAACGAGGTGCCGCCAGCTCGAGAGGGTGGGACGGCCACTCCACTGGCTGGTGACAATGGTACTTTGCTGTTGTCTCTGGTGACAAGGAGGCACCCGGGAGGCAGTGCATCTGTGTGGCGTGGGCGCCAGACCCACGGATCGGGGAAAGGCCTGTGTCAGGAGGGGAAAAAAACACACCGACACAATTACTCGTCGGTCCCCCAGAAAATATGGGAAAATATGGGGAGTGGGGGAAGACAAAAACCCAGAAAATATACGAAAATATGGGGAAGGATTTTATTCGTGTGTATTTATTTGTGTGTCCCAGGGCCCCTTGACTGTGGTGCGTCAGCTGCGTGCGACGCGTGCTGCGCGAACTCCGCAGGGTGCAGGTGGCGTCCTCGCGCCGTGCCCCGCCCAGTCCCAGGGGCGCTCCGCGCGTGCCACTCTTAGGAGGAGGAGGAGGAGGAGGAGGAGGAGGAGGAGGAGGAGGAGGAGGAGGGAGGAGGAGGAGGAGGAGGAGGAGGAGGAGGAGGAGGAGGAGGAGGAGGAGGAGGGAGGAGGAGGAGGAGGCGCCAGTGCCGCCTGACCTGACGGAGCGCGCCGATGAGGGACGGCCGCGGGGCACGCCGCCGATCCGCGCGCTTGCCGCCAGGCCTTCGCTTCCTCGGCGGCCTGTTCGACAGGCCGGGCCCCCCGATACGAGACCTATGTTGTATCACAGCAGCAATTCGACCCCTGACTTACGTCCTGGGTTCGGTTTAGTGAAGTGATGAAGGTCGTGGTGCTCACCTGGGAAAAAACATCACTTCACTAATCTGGGATCCCTGGGGCCTCCACGGGCCCTGGGGCCCAAAATTAGTGACGTGATGGTTTTCGGGCCGCGGACCCGAGGCTGCAGCGGTTGCACCCGGGCTGCGGTCCTGCACGAACGTCTCCCTGAGCTCGGAGCTCCGGAGCGCGTAGTCCGCGGCGGAGACCTGCGCCGCGCACAGCGCGCCCCCAACGCGGCGTGACCCCGCGGCCGCCCCCCGCGGGTGTCGGATCGGCTCGGCGGGGCGCGTGCGTCTCGGGACTCAGCACAACAAACCACGCGTGAGTAGAGAAGGCAGGGGCAGGATCGGGGTGCTAAGGAGGGGCAGGAGGAGGGCGGGAGAAGTTGGTGCCGCAGACCTAGGCCTGTCGCTGCTGAGCCTTCGCGGTGCCTCCTCCTCTTCCTGGCTTCTCCTGCTCCTTTCCCTCAATGCTCGCTCCGTACTCCGTCCTCCGTCACTCCCTCCTTCGCCCTTCTTTCGATCCGAAAGCCGCTACTGCTACGAAATGCTTGCCGATATTGCTACCCCTGCCTACCGCGCCTGCTTCCTCGACGTCCCCTCCTTCACCTCCCGCCCTTCATCCCCCTCCCGCCCTTCATCCCCCTCCCTTCTCAGAAAGAAAGGGAGGGGACGGGAAAATGCTCCCTGCCATCATCACGTCCCTTTCCCTCTGGAACACAGGCACTTTCCTCGAGTGTAGAGGCCTCCCACATGGGGTCCGAGCAAATGGGGACGGAGGATCGCAGCGCATCGCCAATGACCACCTATGCACCGGCGACGTCGGCGATGCATGGAGGCAGTCGGCATGGAGAAAATCGGGCTCCACATCGAGCCGCATCGCCAATGCATCGGCGATGCGGCGCGATCCTCTGACCTCATCTACTCCGACCCCACTTGGGAGGCCTAGAACATATCGTTTCTCGGCACGATCTTCTGTTTTGAATCATCCGAAATCTGCCCCCCCCCTCCCCTCGAAATCCGACCTCTGGACCAATCCCAGGGTGCGATCTGGCCAGGACCTCGCGGCGGATCCGGCCGCGGCGATGGGACCCCGCGGGAGGCCCGAAAGCGCGGACACGGTCAAGAGTCCTTATCGAGCCCCTCCCCTCCCCCCCAGACCAAGTCCTCAGGCGGCACGACTATTGCGATTGAAGACCGTGCCTTGGCTCCCCTCCTTCCCACACACAATCACCACCATCGTCGTCACAAATCATCTCCACCGTCGATGGCCAACAGTGATCGACCACCCTCACCACCACAATTATCATCACTATGACCACCACCAGCATTATCACCACGGTCACCATCACCATCACCATCATCCCGCCACTCCTGCGATTATTCCTCCAGCGATCGTGCCCTCAACCCCTGATCATGCTTCTGCCCGCGGTTCTCGAAAGCCGGCCCCCCTGAGGGGCAACGTGCTGGCGGGGATGGGCTCAAAGGGGGGGAACGCATCGATCTCCAATCGCCCATGCATCGCCCAAAAAAACATGATGGCCCATCCCGCCCGGGAACGTGCGAATCCGCTAGCGGGGAGCTATCGCCGATCCGTCGGCGATGTGTCGCTGGTTCCAGCTCGACGCTTCCCCCTCTGAGCAACTCCCCCCGTATCCGAAGGACAAAACAAGTTGTGCGCACAAACTGCCCAAGGTCCGTGGGGATTTTTTGGAATTGAGTTGAACCCCCTCCCTGGCGCGTGGGGCGCGCCAGCAGCGGCGCCGGAAGCGCCGCCAAGGGGGCCCCTCCGCCGATCCGAGAAGTCCGTGCGGAGCTCGGAAAGGTTGCGCCATGCAGCTTGCTCTTCTTTGGCTGTTGTCGGCTACGCGCAAGAGTGACCCTGGGCAAGAGTGACCTTTGGTGCGCGGCTTAACGGGGGGCGCGGGGTGGCCAAACCTGGGCGCGCAAGCCGCTGCTACCGCTTCGCGTTCAGCAATGGGGAAACCCATCTGTGCCCGCACCGAAGGTCACTCCGGCGCAAGGCCACTCTTGCGTCTAGTCGATACTGCCCCCCCCTCACCCCCGAGGGAACAACGCCGCCGGGCCTCGAACTCCACATTCGCGTTCTTTGAGGCCGGCCCAAGCTTGCCGCCCTTCAGCGAGTCGGACATGTCGCGCACCACATCGGACAAGTCCTCCGGCAGGGGGGCCGGGCCCCGCGCCCGTTCCACCCTGGCCGGCGTGCGCGAACAGCGGCGCATCGGGTGGCGGCCATGGTTGAACCCTTGAGCTCACGATGCGCACCACGCGGGTGCGCTCCGCCCAGCGGGCGCGCGCGGCTTTGGCGCATCGGCTGGCGGCCCTCGTTGGGGCCATGAGCCCCACATGCGCACCACGTGGTGGTGGGCCCCTACCCCCCTTTACAGCCGGGGCGGACGCGAGGGGAGAGCTTAGCGAGGGTGGAGGTAGCGAAACTTCTGCACGCAGCCGGGCCTCTTGGCGCCTGCTGGCGCTAGGAGGCGAGGAGAGGTGCACGACGGAAGTGCCGAAACAAGCTGCGTGCTGCACTTTTCGTGACACACCCTCTCTTCCACTCGCTCACTCATTAACTCCGTGGCGCGCAAAGTCTCTCTGTGCCTCTGATGCTACAGTGAAGCGCGCGGAGACGCCATGCACCGTGCCGCGGCCGCTCCTCTTCCCAGACTTCCCCCCGCGTGTACCCGCCCCGACACACTAGCTCGAAGATATACCCGCGCACGTGCGACGCGCGGGTATGTCTTCGCGTGCCCGCGAGTCCCCCTCGGAGAAGGTCCGCTCTCCAGCCCAGGTCGCGACGAACGAGGCGCGATGATCCTCGCGCCCTTGGGGGTGATCTATATACAGGGCCCCCCTCTCAAGTGTCTTCTTTGCGCCGACTCTCGTCTCCCCTCTCCTGTTCCCGCTCCCGCCCCCTACCGGGTGCGGCTGCTCCGCACCACGCTTCCTCTGCCTCTTCTCCGCCTCATCATCTCACACCTCCTCTCATTCAACTCCCTTCATCCTGCCCTTCCTACTCCTCCTCCTCCTCCTCCTCCTCCTCCTCCTCCTCTTCCTCGACCTCTTCATGATCACCGTCATCAACATCATCAGTCTTCATTATTAATCTTCATCCTCATCCTCATCCTCATCAGTCTCATCGTCATCATCATCATCATCATCATCATCATCATCATCATCATCATCATCAGCATCAGCATCAGCATCAGCATCAGCAGCATCAGCATCAGCATCAGCATCAGCATCAGCAGCAGCAGCAGCAGCAGCATCAGCATCAGCATCAGCATCATCCTCATCAGCCATCATCATCATCATCATCATCATCATCATAATCATCATCATCATCATCATCATCATCATCATCATCAACATCATCATCATCACGATCACCGTCACCATCACCATCACCATCATCACCATCATCATCATCATCATCATCAGTAGCAGCATCACGGCAATTAATAGCATCATCGACAAAAGCAACTACAGCATCATCAACATCAACAACATCCATCAACACCCATCATCACAATCATCCCCATCATCACCATCATCATCACCATCATCAATTTCATCAGCATACTCATCAGCAGCACCGTCATAAGTATCATCGCCATCGATCAGCATCAACAACAACAGCATCGCCATCATCATCATACTCATCATCATGGCCATCCCGATGATCACCATCATCATCACCATCATCAGCATCATCAGCATCATCGTCATCGACATCGTCATCATCATCGCCATCATCATCATCGCCATCGTCGTCATCATCATCACCAGTATCATCAACAAGAGCATCACCAGCAGCATCATCAACATCCTCATCGGCATCATCCTCATCACCATCATCATCATCGTCGTCATCAGCTTCGCCGTCGTCAACATTGGCATAATCATCGTCGTCATCATCATCATCGTTATCGCCATCGTCATAAACCACATCACTTACCTGTGCGACCACCCTTCGGGTGATAAGGAGATTGTGGGGGGGAGGGGGGGGGACCAACATCTGACTCAATCGATCTCACTATCGATCTCACTCAACGGGACACACGGGACACCACGGGACACTCGTCGATCTCACTATCGATCTCGCTATCGATCTCACTCAACGGGACACAATGGGACACCACGGGACACCACGGGACACCGCGGGACACCTCTCGATCTCACTATCGGTTTCACTATCGATCCCACTATCGAATCTCACTCAACTGGACACCATAGGACACCACGGCACACCACATCGATCTCACTATCGATCCCACTATCGATCTCACTATCGATCTCACTCAACGGGACACCATGGGACACCACGGGACACCTGTCGATCTCACTATCGATCTCACTATCGATATCATTTTTTGGGACATCACGGGACACCACGGTACACATCGGGGCACCGCATCGATCTCAGTATCGATCTCACTATCGATCTCACTCAACGGGACACCACGGGACACCACGGGACACCATGGGACACGTGTCGATGTCACGATCGATCTCACTATCGATCTCACTTTTTGGGACCGGGACACCACAGGGCACCACATCGATCTCAGTATCGATCTCATTATCGATCTCACTAGCGATCTCACTATCGATCTCACTCAACGGGACACCACGGGACACCACGGGACACCACGGGACACCGCGAGACATCGCGAGCCACCGCCTCACGGGCGGGCGGGGGAGAATCATTTGTCTTGACTTCGCCCTAGCAGCGGCGGACACTACGGGACACCACAGGACACCACGGGACACCGCGGTCCACCGCCGGACGGGCGGGAGGGGCAGAATCATTTGTCTTGACTTCGCCCTAGCAACAGCGGACACCACGGGACACCACGGGACACCACGGGACTCTTCGGGACGCCACGGAACACCGCGGGACACCGCTGGACGGGCGCGAAAGGGAGAATCATTTGTTTTGACTTCGCCCTAGCAACGGCGGGTTCATTCCTCTCGCGCGCCTACGCAGCTTCGCCTCGCCCGCACGCACGACACGAACGACACGAAACGATTTCCCGGTTGGGGGTCTCCGTTCCACTGCGATCTCACCCCCCAACCTCCGATCACGACCGACCATCGCACATATCAGCAGTACGACCAATGGCATCATCATCATCATCAGCATCATCATCATCATCAACATCAGTATCATCATCATCATCATCATCATCATCATCATCATCATCATCATCATCATCATCATCAGCATTATCATCATCGCCATCGTCATCGTAATCAATTGTAGTTTCGACATCGTCATGATCAGCCTCAGCCTCAGCCTCAGCCTCAGCCCCAGCATCATCATCACAACCAACATCATCACAATCACCATCACGTCAGCATCATCAACAAAAACATAAGCAATATCACCATCGCCATCACGATCATCACCATCACCAACGTTACCACCACCATCACCACCATCATCATCATCAGCAGCAGCATCATCATCAACACCATTGCCACCATGATCATCGTCATTGTCATCGTCATTATCGCCATCGTCGTCCCAGCCTCGCTTTTCCCTACCATCGGCTACGGGCGCCAGCGGTGGGATCACCTCTCATTGAATGCACCACCAAACACCAGTCTGCCAACCAGCCAGAAGCCCCTCGAGCCCAGCCGCTACCGACCTCTCACGAGCACCCTGACGAGTGACACATTTAATGCCAAACCGGCTGCAGGTTTGCGAGAACCGCTTCGAGATCTGACCAGCACGAGTGGACTCGCCGTCGTGCAGCCATAATAAAACAGGGCTAGGATCGGGATAAATCGCTCCAGAGCGTTCCGGAGCGCTCTCAGAGCGTTCCGGAACGCTCTGGAGCGGCCGCGGCGCCCAATACATCCTCCAAACCCGCCGATTCTCAGAGATTTCGAGTTATCCCGATCCGATTTTGCCCCCCCGCCCCCTGGGGGTCGTCCTCGGCGTGCTCGAGCGTGCCGTAACCCCCAGGGCGTGGCGAGACATCAGCGGGCATGGCTTAATAATCATTGGCTGCGCCTCGCCTGTCACACCCGCGCCCGCACGGACAGCACTCGCAAGACCCGCTTGCGAGAAGCATGCCAAGGCAATTCAGTCATATTGTCAATGCGAATTAGGGACCCCCAGAAGCACCAATTAATGATTTGTGATTACCTTGATGTTGAGTCCTTCCTAGTCGTTTGTAAGAGGTGCGGCCGCTACAGCGAAAGCAATCTCAAAGGACTCAAAGGTGAATGTAAGGAGCGATTCCAAAGCAAGTTCTCCCAAGGTGCGTGGTCCCTCCTGGCAAGCGGCCGTCATCCCAAGAGCAGCATAAAAGGCCCGTCCCCGACTTTCCCTGCCCATCCCTGCGGCCCAGAAGGAAGGAGGGGCGACGTAGGGAAGAAAGCCAGCGTAAGAGGAGAGCGGATGTAACCCCTAGGTTTCGGTTAGGGTCGGGTCGGCCTAACCCTCGCCTCCCTCATTAGCATGCGATGGTCCACCCGTTCCGACAGCGCGTGCCCAACCCCCCCAGCGGACTCAATAGAGGGGGGGGCGATTATCGGCGGTAGACCAACCTCCCTTTAGTAAACCTCCACTTAGTGAAAACGGCCTGGGACCGAAACCGACGGACCTGGACCCGCAGAAATGATGGCCGCGACGCCCTCTCGCAAACGAAAACGGCCAATTCCTCAATCGACGCGTCAGGGCAGGAGGTCTGTCCAACCCCCCCAGCGGACTCAAAGGGGGGGGGGACGATTGTTGCCCCGTCCCGAGTGCTGACCGCCTATGAAGGGGCCCAAGGACGCACAAAGAAATACACACGAATAACAGGATCCCCTATGTTTTCCGACATGATCGGGTTTTTTGTCTTCCCCCCCACTTCCCACATGTTCCCATATTTTCCTGGGAGTCGACGATGAATTATGCCTGTGTGTTTTTTCCCCCTCCTGAGCCTGGCGTGGAGGGTCGCCGCGCGGGTCGGGGGCGAGGCGGCGGGCCGCGCCCAGGTGGGCGGCGGGCCGCGCGCAGGGGGGGTCCCGAGAGGGAGGCCCCCCACGGCGGCACGGAGAGGAGGCC